TCTGAGAGCACTGAGATGACCCCTTCAAATTATCAAGACCTCAAAATTTATTAATGACCTGAGAATTTCTTAAATAATCAGGACAAGACAGCACTTGGGTTATTTTTAACCAAAGGCCACACTGTACTCTAGATGTAGAAATCATCCCATATTCTGTTTCTTATCTTATCTCATCTCACACTTACTGAGTTGAGTTGTCCAGCCAAACTTAGAAATAGGTGCATAATTTCTGTGAAGTATCAGTCCAGCCCCAACCACACAGTGCCAGAAATATTAAATGGACACCATATTTTCAGAATCACAGGAGGTCAAGAGGATACATAGGACTAATATGGCATCAGCCTCACATCCATAAAACTAAGAAAATGAAATTCCTACAACTATTCATTACAGGATAATTTGCCAGTTCCCTTATTCAGTTCTGTGTCCAACTAAAAGTAATATTTCCGTATCCCAAATTTAGGGAGGGAAAGGAATGGACAAATAAAATGGAAGAGAGAAAAGGACCTCCGTTTGAACTTCACTAGAGTGTTAGTCAATTAATGGCAATTGTCCAGTTCCCAATACAAACTTTAAACTTACAAGGCCAAAGTTTCCCATCAAGAAACTTAATTGTCCTGCAATGTGCTCCTTTCAGAATATTGCAGAAGCCAAATTTTCTTAGCTGCCTATGGGTTCTACCCAAGCCTGTGACCTAAGACACCTGGTGAGAAAAAACATGATCCTGTTCTCTGCTTCTCTTAAATCTTACCCATATATCCCTTTCCTCCACTCATTCTCCTCCTATCACAGATCTTGACTTCCACTGGACAAACGTGCCAGCCTCTTAATCCAAGCTGAGATGAAAGACAGAGAAAACAAAATGGAGTGCGACCCACAAGAGCCTGCCACTTTCAGACAGTGCCTACCTAAGCCCTAGAAATGAAAAGCACCACCAGATTTTACTAACCAGAGGAATGACAAAAATGCAAGAGCTTTGCCTTTTCCACATGAAAGTACTTCCCACAAGAAATGCAGCTGCCCCTGCCATCTTGAGTCCCCAAATCCTATCCCAGCAAATACTAGATCCTGCCAGCTCCACATGGGATGTTGACCTATAGATCTCAGCTGGTTGTGCAGTTGGAAGAACCCCATTCTCTCCATGTGGGACTTGGTCTCACAAATTCCAGCCCTACAAACATGACAGCCTTTTTAGTGCGAAGTGACTTGCTCTCCACACAGGACTATACCTATTAAAATTGCAGTTTGAGATCTCAGACAAACCTGACCAACAAATGAATCCCATTATCTAGTAAAATTATTTCAATGCTGGCTACACAACAGAATCATCTAGGAGCCCTCAAAACAAACAAGCAAATAAAAAACCTGATGTGGGAGCTATATCCCCCCCAAATTCTACTTATTACTGATCTCCAGTGGGTCTGGGTATCACTGTTTAATAAAAGCACCGAGATGAGTCTGACGGCTCCATAACCACTGGTCCAATATGACATCCTGCCACTTCTGCCAAGGATATTGCTCAGTGAGTCTAGGTTTGTGAATTCTGTTTGAAGTCAGGCCTCTCCCAAAGCTGCAGCTGCAGGCTACTCTAGATCCTTAATCACTAAAGTCTAGTACCCTGTATGTTAACACCCTAAAGCTGCCAAAGCCAGATGAAGAGTAAAAGATGGGTGAAACCCTGAACTCTACGTGCCTGGTTCTCCTCTTTTCCACCACCTGTCTTCTCCGTGAGTGACATGGCTTTTTTCACACAGTGGAAACCACCCCTGGACATTCACAGCCCTTTCCTTCCTCCCTAACCCGTCAAGACTATAGCCACAGAGAACACTATCCAGTGCACAATTGTGGCCATCACATCTGGCTTCCCATTCCCTTCAGGCATCAATAAAAGAGGGATGGGGATGGGGGAACAGCTCCCTTAAGCCCTGTTATATTTAGAGGTACCCTGAACTTCTACTTGTGTAATCGCCCTACTACTTGATGTTGTTTGTTACTATCTCCTCCACTGATCTATAAGCACTGCAAAAACTGAAACAGTGCCTGGTTCTCAGTAGGCGCTCACTAAAATGTTTGATGGATGAATTAATGAATGAAGAGGAACCGCTGCCATGGTAGGAGTGGAAAAGATGCAGTCATGCCTTCACTGTTAGGCCCACTGTTTAACACGGGTAATTGCAGCCACAAGCAGAGCAGAACTCACAATCCTAACCTGAAAACTCAACATTGGCACTTTTTCTTTACTTAAGCACAACCTTGCTTTCAAGGCACCAAAACATTTGCCATCTCCTTGTATTCTGCTTCTACTTTTCTTCTTAGACCTCCCACACAGCAACACCCTCATTGTTCCAAAGTGCTCTATTCTGTCTGCTTTGCCTTTACCATTTCCAGCTCAACGGCAGCCTAGTTGTTATGTCCCTCCTTAAAATAACCATGGGAACTCTTTCTAGCTCTACAGCATAGTTTCAGAGAGATTAAGTTAAATGTACAGTAGTAAGTCCTTCCTTTCTTGCTTTCTGACTTCTACGTGTTTTGAAAGTACTGAATGCTAAGACTGCTTATCCACAAGATTTTTTTCAATAATGGTATGTTTATCTCAGAGTTCTGGCTTACATGTTAATTGTATTGCTACATGTGGGAGAACGAAGCAAAGATGTTTCAGTAATCATATGGTTCCAGGGACTGTGCTGCCTGCACTTGACTCAGAGCAGATGAATCTAGCACCTCTGCTCTTACAGACCAAGGAATAAGCAAGAACAGCATGAAGACCAGCTCACAGTAGCAGTCTAGCTCACTTGATAACTTCTGAAATACAGATGCACTGTTTTTCTTCAGTATTAATTACTATTAAAGATACTTTCAGGTGGCAAAAAGTGTATAGGATCTGAAATGTTAATAGCCATTGAATCTATTGAGGCACTGCAGAGAATGATGGAAAAAATCAGTGGCATCAGCAGTATTAAGATCCATTTCTGTGAGTAGTTTTGAAGATTGTTAAAGCGATATCTATTCCACCTACTTACTGATACCTTTATCTTGTTGGCTGTAGGTGGTATGTTTCAAAATATTGTACTCGGACTACCTGCTGTAGAATCATCTAGTGGTGTTTGTTTAAAACAACCACCACCACCGCAACAAAAACACATTCTTGAGCCCCAGATCAATAAAGCAGAATCCTTGGGGTTGAGGCCTTGAACTTATCCTGACCAAAACATTCAGCCTTTGAACGATAAAATCTAGATTGCTTGCTTGAGACTTCACCAACTGTTAAGCTTCAAATACTCCCAATAGCACTGTCAGCAGGTATTCTTTTTTCTTGAGGGATCTGAGATCAGGTTATGACAAAGTAATTGAAAAGAACATGAAGGCATAAGTACCCAAGGAGGAGGAAGAGAATACCACCAAGGGGAGGGAATGGAAACAGAAAGCCAGAGTCCAAGAAAACCCTTCTTTCCTTCATCCTTTGCCCAGGTTATATGTCCTATGTCTTGGTGTAGTTCAGTCCAACAAGCATATATTGAGCCCCTGCCATGTGCCAGGCACTAGGGATAAAAAGAAACAGAGCAGGCTCACTGTCCTGGGGGAGTTTACAGTTTGGTAGAAGAAGCAGGCTCTTAAATGAGCAATTTAAATAAACATGGTAGGCAAAAGACAGAGATTTGCCCAAGGAATTTTAGGGACTAAGAAGAGGGGTTTGTAATGGAGACTTAGCATGTAGAGAAGAAATTGCCTGAGTGGGGAAATAAGTAGAAATTAGGCAGATGGGGGTGGGGGTGGGGGTTTTGATGAGGAACTAAAGGGAATCCAGGAACTGGCAGGAAATGGTGCATGTTCCCAACAAAGGGCAACCTGCACAACCAAAATGCTCTGAATCCTAAAGTGATCTCATTTCTATCGGGATTGACAAGCAGTTCAGGACTGCTTTATCATAAGGTCAAAGGAATGGAGAAAGATAACCAGTGATCCTGGATAGGCAGACATGGGCCAAGTCAGAAGGTGTATGTATGTCTTGTTAACTTTTCAAGTCCTATTTTGCTAGCCATCTAGAAGACCTCTTAGATCAATCCTTCAAATTCATTCCAAGTTTATGGTCTCAAACTGTTGATTGAAGTTGCTCCAGAAACACATTACAAGTTTATGGGCCCTCTCTGGGACATTATACAAGAATTGAAATAACTAATAAATGGACAGTAATATCAAAAATTACTCAATATAGGGGCACCTGGGTGGCTCAGTTGGTTGGGCATCTGCCTTCAGCTCCGGTCATGATCCTGGAGTCCTGGGATCGAGCCCCGCATCGGGTTCCCTGCTCAGGGGAGAGCCTGCTTCTCCCTCTCCCTCTGCTGCTCCCCCTGCTTGTGCTCTCTGTCAAATAAATCTTTAAAACAAAAATTGTTCAATATAGATTTGAGAATGTTTTAACTATCACTGGAAGGATACATGAAAAACAGTAATATTAATGACCTCTGGAGAGGGAAACTGAGAAGAGAGGTAGGAGGAATTTACATCTCATGGTATACCTTTTGTACTGTTTGAATAATTACCATGTATATTTATTGCCTAATCCAACAAGTTTAAAAGAGAAGTAGGGGCGCCTGGGTGGCTCAGTTGGTTGAGCGACTGCCTTCGACTCCGGTCATGATCCTGGAGTCCCTGGATAGAGTCCCGCATCGGGCTCCCTGCTCGGCAGGGAGTCTGCTTCATCCTCTGACCCTATTCCCTCTCATGTGTTCTCTCTCAAATAAATAAATAAAAATCTTAAAAAAAAAAAAAAAAAGAGAAGTAAAGAGACACATTTATTCCATAGCATAAAGAAGCTGTCAACATGTTAAATGGTGATTTGATTTCTATTGAAAACCCAATTAATGATTCATTGATACAACAGTGACAGTAATAGTATTATTAAAGTAGTTTTGTCCTTCACAGCTTGGGGAAAAAAATGGGATTGGAGAAATACAGATTTTATATATCCTCTATAAATTTGGACTTTTTTTTCTTTTCAGTTTGCAGCTCATCTTGTGAAGATGAAATATCCAAGAATCTGCATTCTAGACGGTGGCATTAATAAGATCAAGCCAACAGGTCTCCTCACCATCCCATCTCCTCAAATATGAAGAACCAAGACTGTGACTGTGAAAAGGACAGAGTGATATCAGCCCCCAACAGCCTACCTCTTCACAGCCTCACCACTCTGAGACAGAGCTAGACTTCCAGATTGTTGCATTTTCATAAAGTTTTGTCATGAAACATTTTTTTTAAATCTCATAACCCACATGTTCAACCATCCAGCCAACAAACTTGACTGTACATGTATTGCTGAAAGAATTTCCATAACAGTGAAATCCGATCATGTATTTTTACCACAGTGCAACACAAAGCCAGAGGAATTCAGCTGACAAGTCAGATTTAGCACAAAGCCAGAGGAATTCAGCTGACAAGGCAGATTTAGCATTATCAAGAAATCTCAATTGCACTGAGAAAGCTGTCTCCCATTGCACTGAACAGACAGTCCTAACAAAGGTATTATTTAGAAACATAGACTGAATGGGGGTTGAAATCATCTTTCTATGATAGTGAAAATCAAAAAGCTATTCTCAATATATTCCTTGTAAGTAAATGCTATATTTGGCAACTTATTTTGGCCCAGACAGATCATGTGCATGCGTGTGTGCGTGTGTATGTGTGTGTGGTTTGTTTAGGAGAAGAATTTAGCCCACTGAAAAAAGTAATAAATAATTTACTTCCAGAAAAATGAAAGTCAGAAACCATTCACATTAGATAGAACATTTGTTAAGCTCCTATGTCAGAGAAACCCAAAATAGGACTGACTTAAACAAACTAGAACTGTATTTCTCACATAAAAGTCTGCATAATGAGTCTAGGGCTAGTATACTGATTTCATAATCATCAAGAACTGAGGTATCTTCACATTCCTTTATTACCCTCAATACATGGTTTCTATCTCATGGATCAAGATGGCTGCTCAGCTCATACCATCATATATTCCATGAAGGGAATGAAGGAGGAGGGGGTGTTGGGGGGAAGGAAAGAAATCGGGAATGGAGCAAATAAGAAAGAGAAGGAAGAGAATGCTTTTTCTCTTTAAGGGCACAAACCAGAAGATGCACATATTACTTCTGCTTATATACCATCAGCCAGAACTTAGACATGTGGCTACACCTAGCTATAAGGAAAACTGGGAATATAATCTTTGGCTGGGAGGTCATTTACCCAGGTAAAAAATTTTATTATTATTTTTTAAAGTTTTAATTATTTAAAAAATTCATTAAACATTATTATTAAAATTTATTATTACTGTGTGGGAAGAGAACATATATTGAAAGATAACTAGCAACCTCTGCCACATTATTCTAAAAATTAAGTACTGTACGTCATTGAATCTCACACATATCACAATTTTATGAACCATAAAGAAAAAAAATGCAACCAAATCAACTGGACATACCATCAATTATAAGACGCATTCCCATTTCAGAAATGTACGCATCTTAGAATTATTGAACTATAGTTCCTTTCTTGACGATCTTCAATTTTAACTAAACAGTGTTGTTGTTTTTCATCTTTAACTTATATTCCTCTTCAGTGTTAGGAACTACCTAGGTGTAGAACATTTCCATAAGAGCCTCAGTTCAACTCTCTGGCTCTGGTTTTATTGTTGCTATTTGTTTTGGTTTTTTGCATCTACTTTTTTATTGAGATACAATTTACATACCATAAAATTCATCCTTTTAAAACATACAATTCAGTGGTTTTTAGTATATTCAGAAAATAGTGCAATCATCACTACTGTCTAATTCCGGCACATTTTTATTCTCCAAAAAAGAATCCTGTAACTATTAGCGGTCATTCCCCATTAATCCCTCACAAGGTCTTTGATTTAATGTTTATATATGATGTGAGATACGTATGCAACCTCATTCTTGCATGTTAGATTGCAAGCTGTCCCAGAGGCTGTGTCATTTTATTTGTTTTGCTTAATTGAATTATATTTAGTCATTCACCAAATATGTTTTAAATACCTATTAGATGTACGACATTGACATAACTAGTGATTATATCATTCTGTGACCCCTACATCATATACAAAGAAAAAATGTTTGAGAATAATAAAATTTTACCACCGTTTCCCTAATAGTATTTTGAGGTCATCATCTGTCATGGTAAGAGAAATATTATTAAGTCCTCCTGTTCTTTCCTTCAACCTTTGGTGATTTATCTGACTTCATAGTTCTAACGTGGTACTGATGATCACTTGGAAGGAGTGGTTCCGAGTTCTAAGTTTGCCTTACTGAGAAAGCAGAGAAGGATGAGGGGTGGGGATATGATTTGAATGAATTGGGAGGGTAGTAGGGGAAGATGAAGACCTGGGTATTGAGGAGAGCTGTGTGAGAAGGATATTGAGGAGAGCTGTGTGAGAAGATAATAGTAACCAACCAATCACAATTTTGCATTTGATCTTTCTTAAAACTTGATACATTTAGGCTTACTTTTTTAAATGAGTTTTTTAACCATTCAAATTATAATATTTAACATTCTCAACAGTAAAATAAGAAAGAGCATGCAATCACTGCCATGTTTACATTCTGGACATGATATTTGGTGGCAGATAGTTTCAACAAAGTTGATATCAGCTATTTGTTGCCCTAAACCTATATGACCCATGACTATAGAAGTCCTTGGGAATATATCATTGACTCCTACATTGTCGCTATCAGCACTGTTTGTTTCTGGCGTCAGCAGTCTCTTTCCCCCTGTCTGGATTGCCCATACTACCACCACCAGCCCCACAGATGCACACACACACACACACACACACATCCTTTAAACTCCACCAGTAGCATCTCCAGTCATTTCAGTCTTCCCCATGCTGCATTAAAAGCCTCAACTACCATATATTGCATTATTTGTTTCAGAGGTACAGATCTTAGATTCAACAGTCTTGCACAATTCACAGCGCTTACCAGAGCACATACCCTCCCCAGTGTCTATCACCCAGTCACCCCATCCCTCCCACCCCACCCCCCACTCCAGCAACCCTCAGTTTGTTTCCTGCAATTAAGAATTCCTCATATCAGTGAGATATGATACATGTCTTTCTCTGTTTGACTTATTTCACTCAACATAATACCCTCCAGTTCCATCCACGTCGTTGCAAATGGCAAGATCCCATTCCTTTTGATGGCTGCATAATATTCCATTGTATATATATACCACATCTTTTTTATCCATTCATCTGTTAAGACGATGGACTCTGAAAAACAAACTGAGGGTTCTAGAGGGGAGGGGGTGGGAAGATGGGTTAGCTTGGTGATGGGTATTGAGGAGGGCACATTCTGCATGGAGCACTGGGTGTTATGCACAAACAATGAATCATGGAACACTTCATCTAAAACTAATGATGTAATGTATGGGGATTAACATAATAAAAAAAAATAAATTAAAAAAAAATGAATTCTTACAGAAGATGCTACAATCTCTACATATAACAGATAAAAATAGTGTCTCATTACTATAAATGTGTTTTAGACACACATCTTTACATTAATTTGTCAATAGTAAATAAAATAATAATATATAAATAGTAATAAATAAATAAAATAATAAATAAATAAATGTAAATTAAAAAAAAAAAAGCCTCAACTACCAAAGCATTCCATTCATACTTCTAATAATAGACTTACTACATCATTTTGCAATTATCTGTTCACATTAGGGACCCATATTAAAATATGAGCCCCTTGAGGTCAAAGACCATAATTTATACTTCTTTTTTTTTTTTTTTTTTAAAGATTTTATTCATTTATTTGACAGAGACAGAGACAGCGAGAGCAGGAACACAAGCAGGGGGAGTGGGAGAGGGAGAAGCAGGCTTCCCGCGGAGCAGGGAGCCCGATGCGGGGCTCGATCCCAGGACCCTGGGATCATGACCTGAGCCGAAGGCAGTCGCTTAACCAACTGAGCCACCCAGGCGCCCCTATACTTCTTTTTGTATTCAACAACCTACTACACTGGAGATGCTTGTTAAGTGTAAAATTGAATTTTATCTCTAACTTAGGGATTTTAGAATCTATATGGATAGGAAAAAACCAGGTAATTTTTTCAAATGCCAATTTATCTGGTACGTGGTGATATATAAATAAATAGAAATCGTAATTCACTGAGTGAAGGCAGTATCTCTAATATTCTACCTAGCTCTAAAATTCTATAATTTGATAAGTTGGAACAAATAACTTCCAACAACAGAGTAAACTAAGCTAGTTGCATTCCCTTTCCAAAGCATAAAAAATGCTAATTAAAAAGAATATTAAAGGGGCGCCTGGGTGGCTCAGTCATTGAGCGTCTGCCTTTGGCTCAGGTCATGATCTCAGGGTCCTGGGATCGAGCCCCACATCGGGCTCCCTGCTCCGCAGGAAGCCTGCTTCTCCCTCTCCCACTCCCCCTGCTTGTGTTCCCTCTCTCGCTGTGTCTCTCTCTCTCTGTCAAATAAATAAAATCTTAAAAATATATATATATATTAAAAATGTCTTCATACTTAACCAAGTTTGAAGGAAATAAACAAATTCCTTGATGTCAGATCTGAAGAGGAACTGAAACACTGTCAGGCGCATGCGCTATCAGCTATCAGTACAGGCCTTGGGAACGGTGGTTTTAACATGCACATAGGGTTAAAAGACACACATGAGCATTATTAGGATTATTAGGATAGTGGCACTAATAATTTAGAAGTATTAAATTATTTTATCATTCCCACAATTCTTTGTCCTAAAGAATAAATTGCTTTTGTAATAATTTACTTGAAATAATATATTTTTGAATAAAATGCCTGTCTCTGCAAAAAAAAAAAAAAAAAAAGACACAGCCTTGGGCCTTCTGGTAGGGAGTTCATATCGACTACTTTACATAGTGACAGTCTCAAAGAACTCTCTGCTCCACGAAGTGACGAGAAATAACCCCACCAAATCAAGGAGGGTACAGGGGAGATTGTCCTGGTGTTCTGAGTAAAGAAAGACAAATCTGTTGTAGACAGATGGAGGTGTTCAATGGAAAGGCTGTAATAAGTCCCCAAATCAGAACAGGTTTTAAGACATGTGTTCATCTGACTATTTAAAAATGAGAACAATAAATTAAATCAAACTTCTGGAAAACATAGGTGATGCCGGATCTTTGATTCCTTTTCCAAATAGTTCCATAAAAATACAGCGGACCTTGAACAACACAGGGGTTAGAGGCACCAACCCCTACACGGTCAAAAATCCTTTTACAGCTTTTGCCTACCTACCATTGACCATAAGCCTTACCAATAACAGTCAAGTAACACGTATTTTGTGTATTATATGTATTAAATTCTGTACTCTTACAATAGAGTAAGCGAGAGAAAAGAAAACGTTAAGGAAATCATAAGGAAGAGAAAATACATTTACAGTACTGTACTGTATTTATTGAAAAAGATCCACATGTCAGTGGACCTGCACAGTTCAAACCTGTGTTCTTCAAGGGTCAATTGTACTTCTTGATAGATTAATATCAAAAGTATGGTACAGCCTCTCTTATGCAGTAGTTTCATCTGGTAAAACCCATCTCAAGAGACAGGACTGCTGTGAGTGCTGTAGAGTTGGTGGGTGTTGGGCTGCAGGAGAGTCACAAACCGTCCCCTCATGGGTGTACGTGATGGTTCCGTATACGCCTACTGTTAACCAAATAATTCACTTTCCTTGGTAAACATTCATGAAGCCAAAGAGTGGAAACAAAACAAGAATATTTATGATACATTTTTGTTTGGGTGTTCAATCTCAAGACCAAATACCCTTCACAACTACCCCACCTTAGATTTTATGTGGAAAAATAACAGAGAAGTGTCACAAACCTTCAGGGTCTGACACTAGCATTTGCTCATGCACAAACTTTAGGTTTTGTAAACCAGTTTTATCTCATTTAATGTTAGAAATAGTACGCATTATAAATAAGCCATTTTAAAAGTTAGCCATATTTTTTTTTTAAGTTGTGTGTATTTATATCTTTTCTAATTTTCTTGTTAATGTCTTATGATAGATGCTTGTCACATGAAGACTAAAATTGGATCTTGGCAAATTCAGTATTCTTTAGATAGATTGTGATATTTGTAACTTCTACCATGACTTCCAGGCCTCATGTCTCCTTGGGTTGACATTCCTTAATATTTTTTTCTCCTCCTTTCAGAGGACACATTTTTAGTTTGCATTCTCTACAGCATTGCAATAATACTGTTCTGTTCTAATGCTCACTGTCACCAGTAAACAGTGCGTGGATGAGTACCAAGGCACCATATTGCCAACATTCCTGGATATTATATATTAATCCTCTGGGTGGTGGAGGTTAAAACACTGTCCTGTCTTGGCTTAAGACTAATCTTAGAGCTATAACAAATGCATTTAAAGCATTAGATCAGATTCTAAATATTGCATCCTGCCACTCTAAAAGACAGCTTTTGAAAATATTACTATCTTTATATAGAAATGTGACTTTTTAAAAAACAGTACATGACCTACCATTCTTTTGAAAAACTGTAATAGTGTGATCACTAGGTAAAGCATTAAAACCTGACAATCCATGCATTAATTTTCTCATTAACTCTGGAAATTTATTCTTCTTTCCCATTCTTATTACTTTTTTTTCTCTATTAGCATAATTTTCAATCCTTTAAGGTAGAATAACTTACTATTTTAAGGCTTATAGTGTGCTGGAACTGGCTCCTAGTGGCCTGGGACAGCTGAATATACCCATTTCTTCCCAACTGTATGTTCCATGATCTCACACTGGTAGCTTAAAATTGGCCACACCAGGAGTATTTACACCATAGAAATGGCAAACATCACAAATCATGGCTTTCCTTTTATTCTTTTTTTTTAAGCCAGTTAGTTATATTTATCAGCAAACCATAGGTTTTAACCATCCTATGGTCATTATGTTGTCTATAGATTACAAATCGTGAAAGCAAAAGGAATTTTAAAGATCATCCAATCCAAGCATCATTGTTTCAAACAATAAGAACAGTGAAATGATTTTGTAAAAATCACATAGCCAGTAAAAGACAGATCCAAAATTACAATTCTGCTTTCCTGATTGACTCCTAACCCATTTTTCTGTCCATGATAT